GTGCACTGCAGAAATGTCTAGGGTTGCCAGGTGTCTGGGATTGTACTGGACAGGCTGGTATTTGCACCTTCTGTCCAGTAAAAAAAATCAGAAAACACTGGAGATGTGCAATGTGCAATGTCCGGTATTTTCTGATTTTTCCGGCTGGGCACTGGATGGAAGCCTGGCGTAGGCAGGGGGAGCGGCTGGGAGGTGGGGCTGCAAGTGCTACTGGGAGCCCTCAGGTGGTAGAGTGTAAAAAGGAGGAAGGGAAGCCTCCTCCTCACTTGTGCGTTGCTGGGACCCTGTGCGGGGACAGGCAGCGCCGCGGGATCTGCAAGTGCCCAGGCCAGCTCGTGGGTGGTAACTGTATTGATCAAGGTGCCTTTTGAGGACATTGTGGGATTGCACAACCAGTTGTCGTACACAGAAGAAAATCAGTACTTGGAGGGTTGGCTTAACCCAATGTAATGAGACCTGTTATTTCTCAGAGACTAATGCCTATCCGGACCTTATAGAAGAGTACTGCACATGTGGTCCAGCTCTGAGAGCCACTGGAACGGAAGGTGGCACAGGGTACGTGGCTTGGCAGCCAACAGATGGGGAGGTATAAAATAAGCAGCTGAAATATAAAAACGGAGGGCTGGAGAGGACCTCAAGAAACCATCTAGCCCATCGCCCTAGGGCAGGATTGAAGTCTACCTAGCCCATCTCTGGCAGTTGTTTGCCTAACCTGTTCTTAAAAACCAGGTACTCACAGCACTTTTTTAAGGCAAATGTGTGTTGTTTGTTAACTTGTGCTTTGGTACATCAGAGTCCTGTACAGATACAGACACAGAGGAAGGAGTTCCTGGCTCATGATTTTCAAAACTGTCTAGGGTTTCTTTCATGCACATCTTTGAGTACCATGGCAGGACCCAATTTTCTGGGCTCAAAGAACTTTCTCCCCCTATGTCAGGCCCCCTATAAAACATAAAGTTAGGAGCTCAAATATTAAGGCACACGAAATCCCGGGTCTTCTGTTGTATGGCAAATAGCCAACTGGCCTTTCTTGTACCCACTTACCAGTGCAGGAACCCCATCTGGTTGCTATAACAAGGGAGGGTGAGGTTGGACATTAGGAAAAACTTCCTGTCAGGGTGATTAAGCACTGGAAGAAATTGCCCTGGGAGGCTGTGGAATCTTCCTTGCTGGAGATTTTAAAGAGCAGGTTAGATCTAGCTCAGGGGTGGGGAACCTCAGGCCTGGGGGCCAGATGCGGCCATGGGCGTGCCTGGATCAAGCCTCTGAGGCTCAGGGCTCCCCTCCTAGCATTGGGGAACCTGCCCCTAAGCTCTGGTACGTGAGGTGAATGTGGAGAGAGTCTCCTCAGTCAGGGACCATGTCATTGAGGGTTTGTGGGTTTTTTTGGCTTCTCGCTTGTGTGCGGCCCCTGAATGATTTTTCCGTGGGTCAGTGGCCACCCAAAAAAGGTTCCCCGCGAGGTCCCTTCCAGTCCTAATATTCTATGATTTGATTCCGTGTAGAGATGTTAAATTGCAGGTAATCAGCTAATTGAGTCGTCAATAAGGGGGGAACTGAAGAGCCATAGCGGGGTAGGCTCCCAGCCCGAGAGCTGTCCCTACTGCAGCTCTGACTTTTACATGTATTAAGAGCCACCCTCTGGCGTGTCTCAATGAAAAGCAGAGGCACAGTGGCAGGGAACCAGGAGCAAGCCGGGACAGCTGATTCCAGGTTCACTCCCAGTCCCCCACACTGTGCCCCTGCTTTTTAAATGTATTGAGAGCCTAGCGGTCCCTGGGCCCCTGCTACACCTTTGCCTCTTTCCCCCTCCCCGCATGGGGCTGGGGGGAACCGACTTTTCAGCCAGCTTCCTCTAGCACCAGCTCCTGTTCCCTTCCTTGCTGCCTCTCTCTGATAGTGGAAAGGAGGGGGGGGGGGGCAGGGAAAGTGACTAGCCAAGTCACTACTCCACGAACCGAAAAGCTTGTCAACTAGTCACTTACATCCCTAATTCCATGTCATGTGTGGTCTGATTCTTGAAGAGGGGATGAGCAAAGCCAGCTGCCACTCACTCCCTAGGTGCAACTAGTGTCTGAAAGGCAACTCTCCTCTCCCCATCTGGTTCCTAGCTGTCTGATGCACAGAGTCATCAAACAGCAGTGGGCAGAGAGCTGGAGGTCTCAAAGGAAAAGTGCGTTTTCCACACCTCCAGTCCACACCACACTCTGAACTCGGGTGAGAATTTTCTAGGCAAACGACCCTTAGAATAGTTTGTGTGGAGACAGCAACGCCCATTTGAAAGTTCTCCCTGGGTTTCTACCTTCCTTTCTCCATTGCCCCTGTACACTCCAGTGTTCCGACTTAACCTCCATGCCCTGATTTTTCTCTCCCCCACTTTATGGTCTCAGTTCCATTCCCAGAGGTGCTGCACTGTCTTTAACTTAGTACCTTGCATGTGCCCAGAGTGTAGGGCAAAAGAACGGGCGGGTTGAATGCAGGATGGCAGTACTCCTCTCTGCTGCTTTACTCCCTCTCTTGGAAAGCAGCGAAATATACAGTCTGCTGTGCTGCATCATGCTGCCTTGGCACTTCACCCTTCCCCTGCTGCCCTTGTTCTCCAGACAGAGGTCATTGCCACTCCCCTGAGGTTACATACAGCCAGGAGCTGCTGAAATCCATCCAGTGAGAGCCAAGTCCAGAGAGGAAGGTGGCAGATGACGCAAGGCAATGAGTCAGCGTTGCATCTGCATCTGACATGGGAGGTGACAGTTGCACTTGAGGAGGAAGGAGGAGAGGCTTTCCGCAAAAGGGAGGATAGGCTGCTGGGGCCAGGGAAATGAGGGATACAAATAGGGCAAGTTTAGTGCAGCAGGCAGGAGAGTAGCTCTTGGCATCCCTGTAATAAACTGGGTCAAGATAAAAACTTTTGAAAAAAATCACAGTTTGCACATGCTGGGTACAGACATCTTAGAGATTTGCAGCTAAATTCCCAGAGTCTTTCTGCACCAAGACTGCTGTAGCCCAAAGCTGAACATGATTTTACTTGCTTATTGGACTGCTGTGG